ATTATTATATTATAATATGCATGGACAACGAATAATCTACATCATATATCAAACCTATTATTTTGTAAAACTCTGTCAAAACTTAAATAACTGCAATAAAGAGTCTTCTATTTAATTATAGTAATTTATTAGTGTAATACAATTAAATATTTTTTTTATATTTAAAACAATTTACATYAAAGTACTTTCACGAGTACATTGCTTAGTTTACCTTGGAAAATATTGAAAAAATTCTAATATACAGGATATAACAGGTCTATTTAATTAACGGTAGTGGTATGCATCACGTGGTCATGTTAAATAATGATAAAATACATATACGTATTTATTATTGATTTGCTACATATTAATTAGGACGAAAAACTTAATTAGCAAGAAATAAATTAAATAATTAAATAAATAAAAAAATAAATTTTTTATTAAAAAATTCGACGTTTTAAGTAATTAATATTATGAACATATATTCGTTCTAAAAAAAAAAATTAAGATAACGAGTATTAAGTTTTTTAAAGCTGAAATATCATAAGTACGCTATGCATTATTATCTTACAAATCTTTAGCTTATGTATACTGGCCAACAGACTACTGAAGTATTTTGGAAAACCTGGTGGTAAATATATAACCATGGTTAACGCCACGGTCGACAAATGATGATCTTTCTCATCAATCGTCGGAGCACATCAAATGAAAATGGACTGACTACGACGACTGACGAGGAAGCACAAACAATGGAAAATGGCGAGGAAAGTGCGATATCATTTTCATTACAATACTAGGTATATTATATTTTTCACAAACGCGTTTCTACTGTTTCTAGTCTATTTACCTGACGTGAATCCATTACTACAATAACATGTCACCGTGTATTAGATAAGTGTTCGTAACATATTGTATACTGTATAGGTACAGAAATATATGTATATATTTCACTATAGGTACCTAAAGAATAGAAATATATGGAGCGATCCATTTCATGTACATTTAAGCGAATTATTGAGTATGAAATAAAAATTAATTTTCATATAATTTGAAGTAGGTACATGTCACACTGCAATTTGTATACATTTGTATTTCTATTACAAACTTATGAGATTTTAATAATTTATATAACAGTGGTTTTAAATGATAACCTGTAATTTAGAATCAATAATCTGTAGAATATACAAAATAACTTTGGTATTTWAAAATGATAGTGTATTTGTATCGGTTACTGAATAAATATTTACAAACGCAAACGCTTATAAAATTGAATAACCTATAAAAGTAGTGCATTTTAGCTGGATATGCGAGTTAACGAGTAAGTAACAACATCCATTTAAGTATAAAAGCTAACTATTAAAGTGTAGCCAGTAAAACAGATCACACTGTATGGGAATATACGTCTATATACACCATGTTTATACTAACTCTACACATGGTTTCGCGGGATAATTAAATAGTACATGTTCGCGCTGCCTATAYACATATTATATACAGTACAATGTCTTATATTATGGTCGCCTGCAGGATCGGCGTACCATGTCGTAGGTATATTTATAAAACAATTCGTGATGTGCACGCGTTATGCTATATTACATTATTCACATAGGCGTGTTACCCGCGGTTGCGTATATTATTATCATCACTGTAATATAAAGATAATATAATAATAATAATAATAATAATAATAATAATAATAATGAGCGGTTTTCTCCGAAAAATCTTCCGGTACCACCTAGCTTAAATAACCAAACCATCGGGAATAGATCTCATTCAGGCAGAAGTATTGCTTGCGTTCCRTCCGCTTAACAAAATCATGAAAGGCTCTGCAGTTTTCACGGTAAGCGATTTCCGTTTTATAATAATATACATGATACATTACTAAAATCGTATTAAAACAACGTCATATTATCAATTCGTGGTCAAGGTTTTAATCTTCGAGCAATAAAAAATTATTTAAATTCAGTCTAGCTCTGTCTATAAGCTTAGTTCCCCGTCTTCTAATAGAGTATTCGAGTAAAAAGTGTTGGCGATCTACGGTGTACGAATATATGAATGCGTATAGAGAATGTTTCATTCTTCTTTAAAAAAAATTAACGATTACATTATAGCCATAAGTAGGTATACATTTTGAAGTCGTTAGAATACTTTTGTCTCATATACTCGAGGTTGCATTAGAATACTTTCGTTAAGAAATTATGACCCGACGACCGTTACGATAATTATTTGTGTGTTGGTTATCAAAGTATAGGTACCTAAGTACATGAAGTAAATGTCTAGCAGTTTATAACTAAATAGAACTGGCATATATGTGTACAAACTMGGTTTGCAGGCATTTTTTTTTGTGTGGTTGGGAGGTGATGAATTACTCGGCCAACTATATGATCATTTAGTATATTGTATTAAGTAATATTGTAAAATATAATAAACTCAATGCCTCATGGAGAGATGTCACGTGATTTTTCCAGTCGTGCGTTTTGCTGGGTATGGTCGCGTGGTCGCAGTGTTTGCCGTACGGCGAATACCAACAGCAGGCCCAGTCGTTCGGCGGAAACGGCTACCCACATCGGCAACAACCCGCGGCGCAGCTGTACAACCATCAGCCACAGGCGCAGGAGGAACACGAACCGGTGAGCTATTCGTTCCACTACGACGTGCACGACCCGCACACGGGAGACGTGAAGAGCCAGCACGAGACGAGGACCGGCGACGTGGTGACCGGGTTCTACACGCTGGTGGAACCGGACGGCACCATCAGGACGGTGAAGTACACGGCGGACAAGCACCACGGGTTCAACGCCGTGGTGGACCACAAGAAACCGAACTTTGATGTCGGTCCGTTCAACTATCACCACTACCACCAACATCAACAACAACAACAACAACCACGACAACAACATCACTATAATTGACGACATCCTATTAATGACACGTGAGCGCATTCGCAAAGTGACGACTATACCTATAGGCGGTGATTGCGTGCAGTATCTAAGGGCAAGGTATATATATTTCCGACGATATTATAATATGGTGCTMAAAAAAACAAACAAAATGCTTATCACTTTGACCGTACCTTATATTAAAAACAATTTATTTAATTCTAAGACTTACATCAATACATTATATTACGCATATTTATGTGATTAAAAAACCCTAATACTTTTTAATATAAAATAATARTTCAAAATTATGCATGGTACAAAAATAAAACGATCAGAGCTATAATAGGTATGATTCTTCCCATCCGCAACTAGAYCCCCTTAAATAAGTAAACGGATAAATTATTTGTTTCTAACCGCATCCTATTATGAATAGCGTTCTCGTAACAAATATACCTAACTCTCCCTTCCCATTATCTTCATCGCCTGTATAATATATAATATAAATATAGGTTTGTATGATATTTTATGTCAAAAATATTGTTTTATTTTTTTATAATTTGTACATTTTTAAATAAACATAATAATTATGTTTTCGTTTTTTTTTTTGTTTTTTTTACAAGCTCAAATTTTTTTCTCAGTTTCCGAATCACATACAACTTATTCTTCTTATTGATATAGCATGATGTGCAGCGCCCGTAATGTATAATCATAGCGGATGCACATGCACCAAGGCGGGCTTGTACCATACATAATAATCGTAGTCCAAGCAAGCTGTGTAATATTGTTGAGTTTGGCATGTAGATATGAGCGACTGTCACGTGAACAATTATAGACCCCGATTTTTTTCAAAACCGTGCCAACACGATCAGCACAGAAATCGTCTGGCTATAGTACGATACAAAATATATATATATATATATATATTTATAATTCAAGAAGATAGATTATTCGTATATGGATAACTCGAAAAAGGCTGAACCGACCGGAACGATGTTTTGTTCCGTGTTCGGTGGACATTGAGTACAAAATATATACTTATAATCACTGTAATCGCAGAGCTCAACTGTTACCTGTATTGTTCAAACTTAACGCTTTTTAAACATGGTAATGCTTACAAATATTAAGTCATATATAGACCTGACTATTTGCAAGTATATATGAAACGAATTATAATATTGCGCAAAAAGTTTCCATTTTCAGTGGAAACAGTAGAAAATAAAAGTGGGTACTTATCTAATAGATATCTACAAAAAAAAAAAAACAACAACAACAACAATAGGTATATGGAGTAACCGCAAAAATATATGTACTTATATAAAACTGTAAATCGGTATATGATATACAGAATGTCCCGTGAGGATTTACCCATTGCGATATCTTCCAAAATAATGGT